TTTATGAGCAATTTTTTAAAAATGTAACAGCTGTTTGCAATGAAGCCCCACAAGCAGAGGAGATCAGCAACTAAAAAATATGTGAACACTTTACGAGTTACTTTCACATTCATATTATTTTTCAAGACAAAAAAAAACTATCAATAACAAAAGGCATAAAGACTAATAAATAAAAACCCATCTAAACAAACTTTCTTTGATATTATCAAAACTGATAATCATAAATTTAAATAAGTCAGTATTAGTTGGTTACATGTTTTATGATTAGATGTTTTGATACTTTTAGAAGATGCATATCCCCATCCATAAGAAAACATTACCAAATTATACTAGACAATCCTTGATTTTCCTACCTGAGGGTGGAATGAATGAAAGCGGTTTTTCAATCTCTTTATCCCTTATTTTTCTGGATGAGTTTTCTGAAACAGTATCATTGCCAGAATCAAAGTTAAAGAAAGTTTCTTCAGCAGAATTTTCTTTTGAGGGACTCACATAAAGATTAGACATTGATGATAGGCCTTTGGAAATTGGTTTTTTATCAGATTTACTAACCAAGTTACTTTCTCTCACAGATTGAGCTTCCGGTGTTGTCGGTTGGTAAACAGAATTATCTTTTGAAGTTGTTACTTCATTAGAATGATCTTTTGAAGTTGTTACTTCATTAGAATGATTTGTTGAAGTAGTTTCTTTATTGTGGAGGTATGAAGAGTTGATTATTTCACAACTATTATCTTTAGGGGGGTTAAGTTTTCCAGTTGCACATGTAGTGTCTACCTCTTTATTACAGAAATCATTTGAGGACACAAGAATATATTTTGAATGGGTAACTTTATCTGAAACACCTCTTGATATAGCTGTATTTGAAGGATCTTTTGTCAGATCAACTTTATTAGGTGAAAGCTCTGAACATATATTTGAGATTTTATGGATATTATTTTTTATATTATTCCTCTCCGAAACACTTCCTGTTCTTCTTTCTTTACCTTCACCAACAAAAATTGGTTCTAAGATAACTGATGCCTTAACTGAAGTATGTTGTTCATGGGTTAAATCTTCATTCCATTGTTGGGTTTCTTCTACAGTATTCATTAATTCTACTTCATGTTCAATAACACCTAAAGAAACAATTAGCCAGCAAACATTTTAAAACTGCCAGAAGTATCATAAGCCTCCAACAAGGTACTAAATTTGAACATAAGTTTTACAAGGATGTAGAAAAATTCACATTATAAAGAAATAATTAAAAGAAAATATAAATACTGCTTTAAATTTATGTAAATCTCCTTCCAAGATAGACTATAAAAGTGAACATGAAGTAAAACACACATAAAATAACAGCTCAATACATCTAGAAACTAATAATATGGAAATATGAATCACAACAGTAAAAACCAAATATTACAAAAAAGCCACAATCATTGAAAGTTATTATAAATCTTTACTGATTACAAAAACATGTTTTAACAGAAATTTGTGCATGTCAACTGTACACTCTTACCAAGAGGCATACACGGGTATGTTTTTTCATCTGCTTTGATATGGATTTCAGTGCAATCTTTGTCAGAAGTTCTATTTCTGATTTGATTTAAATGACCAGAAACTGATAAAGGAGTCGAAGTCGTAAAGGAATTCAGAGACATACCAGAAAACTGGCCATCTGGAAGACTTACAGATGACTTTTTTACTTCTACTTTGGAAGAACTTGTATACACATCTCTGGATGTCTCAGACGACTTCAATCCTTCTTTCAACGGTGTATGACAACTAATATTTTTTAGAGTATTCTTGTTTACCTGGAAGATAGCAAAATACAAGATGTTATACATGAACAAACACAATAATTTCTAAAATATTATAATTATACTTAAAATGGTTCCCTGAAAAATTTGAGGTTAAAATAACACTGTTGAAAGGTCTGGGGCCAAAAAATTAAAAATAAAACACTTTAAGCTGGATAAATTCCTATACTTTTATTCTATACTTAAATGTTTTAAAAAATGAACAAGGTATATAATAACAGATAATACTAAATGGTAACATTACAGAAATAGAAACGTTAAAATTCGCCACACAATCACTTGAAACGTAATCGATTCAGTACCATATACCTCAAAGCTAATGTGTATGTGTAGCCCTTCACTGGAAAGAGAAACAAATGCTGAGAATGAAACACTGTAATACCAAGGGTACTTTTCAAATGCAGAAGCTTTAACACTCATGCCATTGGCAGGTCAAATACACATTACACATTTTTAGAGAGTTACATTCATGATTTAATGGAACTACTTTATTATCATGGTATACAAATAAACTTGGCACCAAAACATAGTTAATATATGATATTAAAATTTCATTTAAGTTCTTAATTTCATAATGAAATATTTAAAAAACTCCTCAATCTCTCTTGGTATGAGAATTGTGACATTTTATCTCCAAGTCTTCCTTTTTTTCTAACTTATTTACCATCCCTGTGAGAAGTATGGAATATAAGGTAAATTACTCACTATAATACAGATACTACTCAGGCAAAGCATAATTTTTATAGCCTTCAATCTGATTTGTTTATGGAGCCATAAACTAGAAAATCAAATCTACTTGAAATGTTCACCTGTCACATCACATCTTTCATAAATTGCCAATAATTCTCTCTGACATTTTATACTATATTATTTATAACCAATAGAAAGCCAAAGTTTTAATTTATCAAATGATATGTTATATTACATTGGTTTCTGTCCAGAGAATTGTCTATTTCACCGTCAGTCCAAAACTTTATTCTCATGGGAGTCGCATCAATGATCTTATCTAAATTTTAAAGGTTCTTATTGCGTTGTTAGAAACCAGAAAAATTAAGATATTTAAAGGACGTTGTTTATTTTGTGCATGTTATTATTCTGTGTTCTTAGGTACATTATTCAATTCAATAAAAGCTAGTTAGTGTTGTAGTACCATTAGTATAAAAAAGTAGGCTTAAGTTTCATCAAAAGTAAGTACTATATTTCTTGTTTTCATGTTTATTCTTTATCTTTTATTATGAAAGTAACTAAAATGTAAAAATTAGAAACTTATTAGGCTAGATAAGTTTAGACAGGTAAGATGATGAAAAAATAATAAAAATTATGTGCAAGGTATGGTCGTGAGCAGCTCGTGTGTTTTACATAATTTGATACAGTAACATGAGCTACATGTTCACTAAGTAATTTAGAATTTCTGTGGCAAGATTATTAGTTAGACATGGTTAAAAGGGCAATAATACAATAAAATTGAAGTAGAAACAGATGTATGCTGTTATGAGTTTTAAGCTGTTTAAGATAAACAACTATAGTTTCCTGTTACAATTTGCAGTCATTCTAGAAAGAAAAAAAAAGAATAATTTAGATTTATTTCATACTTGTTATTTGTTGTTATGAGGTCAGCCAAACTGACTGAATGCATATAGTGTTCAGATAGAGGAAATAATAGAAAAAATATATACTTTTACTGAAAAAAAAGTTTGATATTTATTCAGGAGGTTTTAGAGACTATGCAAATGAAATTTGAAAATTTTCAGGTGAAAAAACGTATTTATAATATTAACACGAAAATCACTTTGCACTTGGAGCAGTCAACATTTTAACTCCACATACTCACGAAGAAATTTTTAATACAAATACTTAGATAAAAATATCTGATTTTTTGTGTACAAAGGGTTTGTAATGTTTGCTGAAAGCAAGCAAAATTTTGTGAAGATGCATAAAACATATTAAAAATTATAGCATGGAAACTATGATGGTCACTTTTGGGGTCATGAACTTGGTTGAATCAGCCTGTAATGAGAGAGTTAAATGAAATCCATACAAAAACTGGTATACATCACAGATAATCACAACTCTGTCTCTGAATGCATAAAACCATGATAAAGTTCTATAATCAACAGTTACTTGTAATATAAATTGAAAATTATCACAAAATCTAGTTCAAAAAGAACGTTCTAACATTCAATTGTAGCTGAAAAATAGTAATCTCTCATTATTCAAATACAAACCTTTAATGTATGCTTAGGTCAATCACTTCTGCAAATCATATACAACAGAAAAAAAATCCAAAACTAATTAGATTTTGGAAAGAAATAAAAAATCATAACAGACCAACAGGTGTATGCTTACTCCTATATAATATTTTATGACCCAAAACAAAATTGATATATATACTTCCTCAGATTTAAAGTACCAAGTGAGAGAAAACAACAGACATATCCTTACTCAAATATAAAACTACATGAATATTAATACAAAAGACAGCAACTACCAAATAATTACTCTTATATAAAGTGTCACAATACAGAAGTCAGCAACTGTCAGATACTTACTCTGATATAAAGTGTCACAATACAGAAGTCAGCAACTGTCAGATACTTCATCAGATTTAAAGTGTCACAATACAGAAGACAGCAACTGTCAGATACTTACTCTGATATAAAGTGTCACAATACAGAAGTCAGCAACTGTCAGATACTTCATCAGATTTAAAGTGTCACAATACAGAAGACAGCAACTGTCAGATACTTACTTTGATATAAAGTGTCACAATACAGAAGACAGCAACTGTCAGATACTTACTTTGATATAAAGTGTCACAATACAGAGGACAGCAACTGTCAGATACTTACTCTGATATAAAGTGTCACAATACAGAAGACAGCAACTACCAAATAATTACTCTTATATAAAGTGTCACAATACAGAAGACAGCAACTGTCAGATACTTACTTTGATATAAAGTGTCACAATACAGAAGACACCAACTGCCAAATAATTACTCTTATATAAAGTGTCACAATACAGAAGACAGCAACTGTCAGATACTTATTTTGATATAAAGTGCCACAATACAGAAGACAGCAACTACCAAATAATTACTCTTATATAAAGTGTCACAATACAGAAGACAGCAACTGTCAGATACTTACTTTGATATAAAGTGTCACAATACAGAAGATAGCAACTGTCAGATACTTACTTTGATATAAAGTGTCACAATACAGAGGACAGCAACTGTCAGATACTTACTCTGATATAAAGTGCCACAACACAGAACACAGAGGAATTAAATGTTTATTTGAAATGCCATGATACAGATTAACAGCTGTCAAAAATAAAATCATAGACCAATTACATAAATAAATGTCAAAAGTATCAAACAATTACGTATGAAAACTTAGAAATGAAAACAAATGTACATTAATATCTAAAAGGGTATATAATCATAAACTGTACAGAAGTTATGTGTCATATAAATTAACTTGATGATAAATTGAATTATTGATAATGACATCAACACTTTGCAATGGTCTTAAAACAAAATATGTTATTACTGCAGTTCAGTTTATACTTAAGTGTTGTACTTAAATCATTAAATCTATTAAACATTACAGTTGTAACTCTGTTTGATCTATATATCTCTCTATATGCATATATATAAGCCAAGGATCTGTCCTGTGTCTTAATTTTTGGTTACAGACTTTGGATTGCCAAAATTTCTTTTATCTGAAAATTAGAAACATAGACCATTGTACTGCCTATTTTGATAATTTTTGTTTATCCAAAATATTCAAAATTTTTATTTTATCAAGGTCATTAGGCACACAAATATTTTGTTACAAATATATAACTTATATATACAACTGACAGACTGATTTAGGACTACAAGTATTTTACTATAAATATATAACTTATATATACAACTGACAGACTGAGTTCTGATTTAGGGATACAAGTATTTTATTATAAATATATAACTTATATATACAACTGACAGACTGATTTCTGATTTAGGCCTACAAGTATTTTATTATAAATATATAACTTATATATACAACTGACAGACTGATTTCTGATTTAGGCCTACAAGTATTTTATTATAAATATATAACTTATATATACAACTGACAGACTGATTTCTGATTTAGGCCTACAAGTATTTTATTATAAATATATAACATATGTACAACTGACAGACTGATTTCTGATTTAGGCCTACAAGTATTTTACTATAAATATATAACTTATAAATACAACTGATAGACTACATTTCTGTACAGATGGACACCATCAAGAATTACTTTATCTTCCTGTAATTATACCTAAAATTCTGTTAGGAAGTTTAGGCAAAGGCACGATAAAAATAGGCAGTGATGACAACTGTACTTAGAATTAAAATGCTATTAATGTAGTAAGAAATGCCAAAGTGATTTTCATAGCTTGAGTAAGACGCTTTACTGAACCATTTTTTAGCCAGCCATACATATTAACCTGACTTCCTAGTACTATATAACCGAATACATTTCTTTTCGTGAGGTAATCAATTACAATTGTTTCAAGCTGCAAATGAAAGCTTTCATTACAAGTTGTACAATTTGTTTATGAAACTACACTTGCCTTTTCTCTCTGTGTATTTTTCCCAATTTTGAGAGGGGTAACAACTGAAGATAATTTTCTTACAGTTGATGAAACTGTGGATGGCTGATTGCTGCCAGTTTCAGTTTCAAGTTCTGATACATTAGGATTTCCTTCATTGCTGTCATCATATGGCTGTGAACTGACCACCACCTGGCCCTACAATGAATATTAATAAGGTTTTGGTTCATGAAGAAATATAGGCTAATACAAAGTTTTTAAAGATTAGAACATAAAAATTTCACAGCTTTTATCTCAGTATGAGAATACAGTCCCTAAAATTAACTTACAAATTAAAATGATAAGTATATTCAGATCAGTGTACAAAATAATAATATTTTTTCTATCAAAATCAGTTTCAAATACTCATTAATTCCTGATCTCGTTATTAGAAGTTTCCCTGATCATGGAAAAGTTTCTTAAAGCAAAAAAGTCAAATTCAAGATCAAGAAAGCTGCGAGATGTTTACCTTAAAACTATATTTGCTTAATGTAACTTGAAGAGATATCTATTTTTTTACTGAAGAATGCAATCAATGAGAATAGGCTAGTCAAACCCTGAAGTAATGACAAACAGCTATTTGCAACTGAATGAGACAAACTGTCATTTATTAACATTTTGATATGTTACTCCACAGATATGAAATCCTCCAGTCATATTACCTCACATCCATTTGATGATGAGGAGAAACACATGTACTTATATTATACATATTGCCATTGCAGTAAGATGCCTAAATTGGTCAAAGTTAAGGTGTCGGCTTCTAAACTAATAGCTTTTATTGGGTTTTTTCTGTGTTTAGTACTGAAAACTTCTAGTTTTAAATCAAACACTATGTTTCATTGTGGTAACATGGCATCAGCAGGAACAGAAAACTGTACTTGAAGTAAAAACATAAATTCATTGTTTTCTGTTAAAAATAAATATCATTCTGTTCAGTAGGTTTTAATGTTATTGTAAGGTGTAATAAAAATGGCAAAAAGCTTCAAGAGTAAAACAGTAAGTGCATTTGTGCTTAGTAAAGATAGCATCATACCTGCTCCTCCTCCAAAGTTGAATTCATCATAAACCATTATCGAATAAAATAAATTATGTCAATAAATATGTACATCATGTAA